TTTCTCAACAAAGGAGTAAGAGAAGAAGGATCAGAAAATCCAAACTGCTTCCTAAATTGAAACCATATCTTGAGACTGGAACCTACAACAGGACTGTTGGTAAGGCCAGAGGGGTTGACAGCCATAGAGCCAGTTAAGAGAGCAGGTAATGATGACATAGAGCATGATTGGGCCTCAAATTGACACCATGGCACATCAGAGACTCTCATCCAGTAAGACATTCTGGTTATATTCACAGCCCAATAATAGAATTGAAAGTTAGGTAAGGAAAGACCCCCATCAAATTTACAATTTTGAAGTATCTTTAATCTAACCCTGGGTGCCTTGCCGTTCCATATAAAATTTGAAATGGTAGAATCGATTAGTTTAAAAAAATGTTTGGGTAAAAAAATGGGCAAACTTTGAAACAAAAACAGGAATTTTGGTAGTACAACCATTTTAATTGTGTTAATTCTACCAATCAAAGTGAGAGGCAAGGAATTCCATCTCTGAAAGTCTGCCTTCACTTCAGTCAATAAGGGTAAGAAATTTGCAGAGTAAAGAGATTTGTAGGATCTAGTTAGATTAATCCCCAAATATTTAAATCCCGAAGGAGTGAACTTAAAAGGAACATCAGATGGAGAGAGTTGCATGGCTTAATTATTAACAGGGTAGCATTCGCTCTTTGAAACATTGACTCTATAACCCGAGAAGGAGCCAAACCTATGAAAGATGGAAATTATATTCGGAACAACAATTTTAGGATCAGAAACATACAATAACAGGTCGTCTGCATAAAGTGAGAGTTTAAATTCTGTGCCCATACGGGTGATACCGGTGAAGAGTGAAGAAGATCTCAAATGTATAGATAAAGGCTCTATAGCGAGGGCAAATAAAAGAGGAGACAAGGGGCAACCCTGTCTGCAGCCTCTATTTAGAATAAAATATTCAGATCGAACATTGTTTGTAACAACACTGGCGCATGGTTGAGTGTAAAGAAGGCGTATCCAAGATGGCAGCACATTTTTGAATTAGTTCAACACTTTAGTTTGTAACAACTCAAGCAGTTTTTTAGGGAAAGACTCTTCAGCTTCATCAGTATGTTTCATTTTGACTGACAGGACAGAAGCAAACGATAATGTTATAAAACAGCAGAGAATTGTAAGTAACTGATACTTTTCCAAAAGCATTTGACATTTGTTCAAAGGAGAAACTGCTGCGATGATGTCACACATGACTCAATGCTGTGGAGGTTGAACTAATAGTAGTTTCATTCTGATCTGAGAAAAGCACCAAAACTGTATTCCATTGTGTTCGAAAAACTATGTAATGTCCTCCAAGAAAATTACTTTGAATTGAAAATATTACATGAAAAGCCAACGTTTGAACCGAAAATCACAAAATCAAATGAAAGAAGAATTATCACACATTATTTTTCTGTTTTGTTCAAATTAGTATCAATACTTAATATATGACTACATTACACATCTCCATTCCATTTATCATGAAATAAAGTGTGTTTTTTCACTTAAAATGTTTCTTTTTTTTTATGCCATAAATTGGCATATGGTATATTTCTGACCAATATATCGTGATATAATCGTTATCATGATATAATCGTTATCGTGATATAATCATTATCATGATAAAATCGTTATCATGATATAATCGTTATCATGATATAATCGTCATCGTGATATAATCGTTATCGTGATATAATCGTTATCATGATATAATCGTTATCGTGATATAATCGTTATCATGATGTAATCGTTATCGTGATATAATCGTTATTGTGATATAATCGTTATCGTGATATAATCGTTATCGTGACATAATCGTTATCGTGAGCTGTGTATCGCGTATCGTATCGTATCGTGAGGTACCCTGAGGTTCCCACCCCTAGTGACTTCAACACCACATGATCTAAGTGGGACACAGCGGTGTGAGGGTGGGTCGTGTTCACAGACAGCAGCTGGGGAGGGTCCATTAAAGTGATGGAAAAGTGCTATCACAGGAGTCTGAACCATTCCACAAAGACTGAAGTGATAGAGACACCGCCGTAAACAGTGGCCCTCGGACTAAAGAATAGACACATCAATAACACCACTCACGGCAATAAAAAATAAAAATAATATATGATCGTAACCTCCCAGAGATATTCTCATAAACAACTATAATATTTTGTACTACAGACAAACATAAAATCAGCTTTAGAAGTAGTAAAAAAAAAAAACACTAGTAAGCCAAAGGTAACGGTCACATTTTATTGTTTTAGCACTTAAACATTAGCTTGCTAGCACATTACCTGCTATAGAGACAGTAAAAATGTGTATTGCCTTGAATTGAGTGGTTTTTATCTTAACTTGAATATTGAATATTGTTATTAAAATGTCTATTTCATTCTATTCCATTCTATTTCATTCTAAGAAGAAGGAATGAGGGACCAGGACATTCCAGGGAACATTCCAGGGAACATACCAGGGAACATTCTGTGGGACTATGTGAGTTCTGGTATATCTTCCTTCAGGCTTTTTGACGGGACATTTAATTAAACGTTAAATAACCTGAGATGATCAGCACAGTCGCTCCTATCATTTTAAAACAGCTTCCATCTCACGCTATAATCCACATTATAGACTCGTTCGGCCAATTACATTCTCCCGCTCTGCTCCTCGCTCTCCGCACCTCCTCCTTCTCCTCTTTATCGAGCTGTTAACGTGTCACTATCAAGTGATTCACGCCGCTTTGCTCTTCCCTCATTAGCTTTAAGGAGCAGGAGGAGTCTTGGTTAGACCTGCAGAGTTTTGGGCCGATGTTTTTTCTTTTGGTTTTTTACATATACGTATATAAGATAAGATAAGATAGACTTTATTGTTCTCACACTGGAGAAATGTATATATATTTTTGCAGGCTTCATTTTCAGTTTTTACCGCTTCATGTGTCTCAAATGTCCAATGAGAATTGTCGTGTTAAATAATTTTCCAACAGTCTCTCCTGTTGAAATCTCACTGGAACACGTTTTGCAAACAGCATAATGCTGATCTTTTCCTGATACTGTAAAAATGACACACGACCGCCGCCTCTACCGCCCTTTACCTTCGCACGTGCCAACCATCGGCCAATGCCATTTTTTTTGCCGATGGTAGTTTACAAAGCAAACATCGACTGATATAGATGTTCAGCCGCTGCGTCGGTGCATCCCGAGTCATAACCGGACCACAGCAGCGATGAAAATAAATCTGATGATAACTAAGATAATAAAAGATAATAGATCATTTATTCGTCCCACAGTGGTGAAAATTCAATGTTAAGTAAGTAAGCTTTATTTATATACCGCCTTTCACAGACCAGAGTCACAAAGCGGTTTACAATTGTTATTTTTTTGGGCACTTGTCCTCTCACTCCACACAGAGATGGGAGCGGGGTCGCCGAACAGGAGGCGCATGCCAGACCTATTGTACATATTTTTAGTGGTAGGGGAAACCGGAGTACCCGGAGGAAACCTACGCAGACACAGGGAGAACATGCAAACTCCACTCAGAAAGGCCCTGGTCCGGCCGGGATTCGAACCCAGGACCTTCTTGCTGAGAGGCGAGAGTGCTATCCACTCAGCCACCGTGCCGCCCAATGTTGCAGCGCACATACAGGACAGTTGTGAGAGCAGGATGAGCTGTTCTTATTGTACAGTCTGACAGCTGCAGGAAGAAAAGACCTGTGGAACCTCTCCTTCAAACGGCTCAATTTGTTTCTTTACCGACTCCAGAAAATGTAGTTGTCGGATTGTGTCTGGTTAAAATGTGCATGAACGTGTGAGAAATGCCGATGTCAGCTAATGCAGCTAATGGTGGGCGTTCGAGGGTGTAATCCCGGCTGGTTAATGATCCAGGAGAGCGTTTGGGTTTGGTCCAGCGCTTGGCAAATATTTCAATGATTCCTGCGGATTTCTTAGTATAAACACGGACAGGAAAGATTGCAGAAGTGTTCAAAGATTGAAACAAATGTGACAAGATAAAGTTGGAAATATCCTGCGTTATTTCTGGCATTAACAGTCATAATATAATATTGTATGGTGAAAAGGTTTGAAGGATGAAAAATGCTTTTGCCTGTAACTCCATATGCTACCACTAGAGGGAGGTATGAAATGTGTTTAGGTTTGTGATTGCAAAGAATACAAATTCCATTGAGAAATTGCAAAAACAAATGCATGATTTTAGCAATTTCTCATTCTATTTAGCCTATATTTTTTTTCAAATCATCTAAATATATTGAATTGTATCAAATTGAAAGAATCTGATAACTTCATATGCATCTGTATCTAGTTGCTTTATCCGTCAGAATCAAGATTTCAGGAGTCACCAGTTGCTATTGCTATTCACCCACTGTCCCATAGTTTGTTTTATGACCGCTGAACCCAGCCTCTTTCATCTACACCTGGGAACTGGTCTCCCCCGGCCTGGACTTTTGGACACACCCCCCTCGCCGCCTGGGAGCCTATTCAGTCCTACTCCGCACAGCCTCAATCCTTTTTCTACAGTCCGAGTCCTGGATCTTCAGCCTCAGTCCTGGATCTACAGCCTGAGTCTTGGATCTACAGCCTGAGTCCTGGATCTACAGCCTCAGTCCTGGATCTACAGCCTGAGTCTTGGATCTACAGCCTGAGTCCTGGATCTACAGCCTCAGTCCTGGATCTACAGCCTCAGTCTTGGATCTACAGCCTCAGTCTTGGATCTACAGCCTCAGTCCTGGATCTACAGCCTCAGTCCTGGATCATTCCCAAAGACACACCAAACAACCTCTCAGGGCACACTAACTGGCCACGGCCCACAGGTTGAAAAACACAGTCGTATATTAGCCTTAAACACTGACTGAGAATTTGACTCATTTTTAAAAAGCAACAGATTTCTCAAACGTACACAGTGATGGGACCAAACAGGTTTCTCCGAGTCTCTCTTCATCACATTGGGCCTAATCTAACACACACCCGTCTCAATAAATCAATGAAAGAGCAGCAGACGCACCTTTATCAGCCACAGACAGAGTGCTGTTGAAGTACTGCTCCTCCACCGCCCACGACGCCTCGTTCATTTTGTGGGAGATGCCACATGAGCCTTGGCAGTTCACCTTGATCGCTGCAGAGACAGAGGAAATAAGAAGTCAAAAATCTGAAAAATGTCAGAGTAAATCCATTTTTCTCATAGACTCTATAAAGATCATGGGTATCAAAGTCAAGGCCCACAAGCCAGATCCGGCCCACGAATGAATTATCTCGGTCCCTGGGATGATATCTGATTAGTATTAGAACCGGCCTGCACAGAGCCATAAACAAGTATTGGATTATTCATTTAATTTTCAGGAGGTATGTTTGAAGGAAGATTGTTTTTGTTTTGTCTGTTTTTTATATCGACTTTTTAAAAAATGTTACTCCTTGTTTTTGAAGCCCTCAATGGTCTCGTCCCTCTCGGCCGATCATTGAGGTCATCAACTCAGCTCCTCCAGGAAGTACCTCGGACCAGGTCCAAACACTGGGGAGACCAGTCCTTCTCAGTTGCTCCTCCCCAGGCTCCAGAATAATATTTATGGACATTTATCAGCATGTAAAGAAATTGGTCATCTGCCCTTTATAGACCAATACCTGTGTGTTTTCTCTTTTATTTCTTGGGTTTGATTCTCTGATCTGTGTTGGTGAATTCAACGGTTGTGTAAAGTCCGCTGAGATAACTACTGTTGTGGGGTTTAGGGATACAAAAAAAGACATCACCAAGAAAATGAAAAAAAACACACATATATTTACAGAAGACTACAGTACCAGTGACGCCACAGTTCAGACTGATAGAGAGTGGGCATTGACTCTGATGTTGGTCCGGCTCATTATGATCACATTCAGCCGACAAATAAATCTGTGCATTAGGTTTCTTAGAGTGGCATGAAAAGTGCAAGAATAAATTGACTTGAATGGACCAAGCTGTCCGCTGATATGCGAGCGCTTACTGACCTTTGGCTCAAAACGCATTAATTCAAACTGGCTTTTAACACTTTTAACACTCATTATCGCGGTGGGAATTCTGAAATGCTGTAACTTTTTTATGTTTTACTGGATTTTATGTGGTTTTATTGTCAAGCACTTTGGTCACCTTGAGCGCTGTAAAGGGCTCTATAAATTAAGTGATTGATTGTTTGATTACTTTTTATATTTTATACAAGTAGTCCCTTTGCAGTCGGGGCCTTCCTTTCGCTCGTCTGCATGTCTGGCTCTCTCTCTCCATTATTGTTATTGTGAATGTGGGCAGATTGCATGAAAATGGATTGAACATTAGCGTGTGTGACAGCGAGAGTGGTGAGCAGCCATCTGCCTTTTCAGCCTGCGGTCGGTCTGTGTGTGTGTGCGAGGCCAATTCTCACTGTCAGCGCCTCCACTACCAGCAAACACATTGGGGAAAAATATGGGACTGAAAAATTCTGTCATCTTTAAACCATGGGAACGTAGGAAAAATCAAGACGAGATACACGTCGTTATAGTGTCAGAGGTTCCATTATACTGTCAAATACCCGTTAAGAAGCCTTAGTCTATACATCAAAAACACAGTACGATGCCTTAGTCTACTTAAAAACAGGGTTAGAGAGCCAAAAATCCGTCAACAAAGGGTTAAAGGTGTCAGTATACATCTACAACAGGGCCCCAGTATACATAGGGTTAGAGGCCAAAGTATGCTTCAAAAATAGGGTTAGAAATCCCAGTAAACATAGGATTAGAGGTGTCAGTATGAAAAATCAGGGTTGGAGCCATTGTGTAAGAAAAAGGACCTACACAAAAAACTCAAGGCCTGTATTTCTTAAGTCTTTTTAATGCTCGACCGCAATAGGTTCAAAGACCATTGCACTACCAACTGAGCCACTGTCGCCCCATATATTGTGAGTTTGTCTCTGTAAATTCAGAGCCATATAAAGATTGACCAATGGGGAAACTCTTGCTCGCCTTAGCAACTGTCCTAGCAACATGCTGCCTTTTGTATGAACCACAGGTGGGACAAGTCATTTTTTGGCAAGTCACAAGTTAGTCTCAATTCATATCCCTCAAGTCCCAAGTCAAGACCCAAGTCAAATCCAAAGTCATGTCCCGAGTCAAGACAGGCAAGACCCAAGTCAAATCCAAGGTCTTACAGTTTGACTTTTGAGTGTTTTTGATTTGTTTCTTGCTGGTCTCTATGTAATGTTTGTAGGCAATCGAAATAATCTTAGGATTTTTTTTTTTTTTGCCGCTTTCACGTTGGTCTCTGGCCCACGGACTTGTAGCTAGTTCCATGTGGCTGGTCGCTGTCGAATCAAAACAATCTATGTGATTTGTAAGGATGTTGTGCCGATTGCGGGCTCTCTGTCGCACATGCACAGGCCACACACATAAACGGAGATAGAGCAGTCCGTGTCAACACTCTTTTTATATTTAAGGTTTTTATGAGAAGGAGCAAAGTCTTTACAAGTCAAAAACTAGCAATTTCAAGTGAAAGTCAGAGGTATTGGTAAAGGAGCTATACCCGTTTCTGCAAGGCTTGAATGTTTAGCACCGCCCCCCAACTCGCTCACAGGCTTCTCATTTCCCCTACGCTCTCATAACACAGAGCCATCATGCAATCTGATGCTAACATTAGCATTAGTGCAACTTAAGCTGTACAACAATCACTGATGAAATGGTACAAAAGCAACGCACTGCTATCAAAATATATAACTGAAAGATTACCGCTAGTTCCGCGTCCGAATGTAGTCCGAGCATAGATAGTCCGAGCATAGATAGTCCGAGCATAGATAGTCCGAGCATAGATAGTCCGAGCATAGATAGTCCGAGCATAGATAGTCCGAGCATAGATAGTCCGAGGCGGTCCCGCAGGTCTCGATGTAAGCTAGCTATGTTCACCTGGGCTCGATTTCTTCTTTGATAATTTTTTGGCTTTAGTTCCCTCTTCTCTTCCTCACTGTTGTCGTTTGTGCTGTTTTGCTGTGATCTGCAGTTACAGCAAGTGGAGTTATAGCCACTTATGCTAACATGCTACTGTGTTTAGCAGCGCTGTAGAGGCTAGAGGACGCAGCCTCGTTCTGTGATTGGAGGAGAGCGGGCGTCATGCTAAAGTCTCTACTCAACACTTTTTTACGGCTTGAATTCATACACAGCTGAATCAATGAGCTCAAGTTTTCAATTAAATTACGGATTATAAAACAACTCGTATGTAGTAATAAGCCTTTTAATGAACTCATAAAAAAAAACGGGTATAGCATCTTTAAAGACCGAGTTGCAAGTCTTTTTTATATTTTGTCAAGTCGAGTCTAAAGTCATCAAATTCATGACTCGAGGCCACATCTCTGGTATGACCTGTGCCATACAGATAAACTTGCCTTTGCCTTGACTCATTAACAGCCTCTTACAAACCGGTTTCAAATGGCTTTGTTTAATCGACTGCTCTGTGTTTGATCTCTCTCAGTCCACGTCAGATGCAGGTGTAATGTTGCCTCTTGGGTGTTTGCCATGTCCCCTCAACCTCTCCCTCGGCTGGAATGCGCTGCTCTAGGGCACGTGGGAAATCGGCTGCCACTCCACTCTTTGCTCCAATGGTTTTCCTGATCAAACACAAACCCCAGAGATGAAAACTTTGAGCAGAATAACATCGATTTTTAAGTTTTCGCAGTGATTGCGTGGTGTTGCGTCAGCTCTGGAGGCGATGAGGCTGTTTGGACGAGATCTGTGTATTTAAGCCTTTTGAATAGTCACATTTGTTCAAGGCCATTTTTTTTGTATAGCACAGTTCATACACAAAGCAGCTGAAAGTGTTTAACAAGACAAAAAAAAAGAAATGAAATTCATAAATAATCACATTAAGATGAGTTCATAGGGCACTAGAATGTCACTAATGTACTTTGGTGCGTGGCCATGGAGAAACTTGAAACAAACCGAGCTGATTTAATTAAAGTCTATTCACTGAGCCACATGAAGCCAGTGGAGAGACCTGGCTTAAATATGTGAAATAAATATATATTCATTTCTATATATTTTGGACCACAGCAGACCTCTCTCTGTAAAAAGCAGAGGGACCATGAAGGGCGGTGAGTGACTCCTCTTCTGTCAGGTGTGAGATCCGTTCGACTCGGTCATTTCTCCTTGGTTTGTTTGTGTCGCAGTCTGATCGCTCCCTCTTCTATCCGTGGATGGCACTGCGAGCTTTTGTCTAGCGGTAAAATATCCACGATTTGGTTTTAAAACAGGTCTGGTTGGGTAAATCACAGTGATTACAGCCCTAAATCACAGCAGCACTCGTCTCGGAAGTCCGACAACAGATCAGAGAATCATGATACAATAATAACAAACATACTGTATAGGGAACAGGATGAGCAATGATCATGAATGTTGGGGACCCTCCTGCATCGGCAAGAAAGGCACATGAAGCACTTTGAGGTGCCGTATGAACTGTGACTATACAAATAAACTTTCCTGCCTATATTTTGTTAAGGACAGTTATCAAACACAATGCGACCCGCCGGAGCATTTTTTGTGCCCCTGAAATGATAATCAAATATTACTGTTCACTTGCAGCGTTGATGGTGAGGTATAGGAGCTGCCATGGCGTGTTATATCTCATTTTAGAAATATAAATCATTGGTCCATCCTTTCATTTTCACCCCATTTAGGTTCAGTCCAGACACACAGTAACTGCAATAGCTTTGGTCAGAAAAATCTACAAGAAGATCGTCTCCAAAGTCGGGTTAAATTTAAGTAATCGTCTTGTCGTGTGACCTGGGATCCTTTTTCATTAAGTTTATTGACTCTAGGACGTTTCCTCATGACTTGGAGGAGGATTACTATTGCAACATGGGAAATGGGTTATTTGTTAAAAAATATGCATATTTTTTTCCTTTGTGTGTATGTGTTTATGAGTGTGTGTGTCTTATACTTGCATTTACTTTATTTTTAAATGTTGTTTTATTCTACGGCCCTGTTGGGGGACGGGTTTGGTCCTGGGGTTGACATTCGGCTGTATTGCCTTTACTCTTTTTCCATTTTTTACAAAACTGAATGCTGAATCTATATTAATGCTAAAATGTAAAAAATAAAAATAGTAATCATTTTGTCTAAATACCTCATAATTAG